AAGTATATGCAATCAGCCGAATGGCCACCAGCCAAGAAGAACCTCGTCGCAGCAAAGCCATCCACATCATCAACGAGGCCCTGAAATACCGCAACCTCACACCACCAAAACCAACCAGCCGCCCATTCCATTCCTGGCTCACCAAGATTTTCAGCAGAATACCCAAACATGGCTGACCACCATCCTCCACCAACACAAACACCTGGCCTGGCCATTCCATTCCATCTTCCTTTTCCACTGTCCTCCTCATGAGGATCAGCGGCTGCGCACATCTCAGCACACTTCTCGTCAACACCCGCCACTCTCGCACTTGGACGCCTTCAATTACCACAACATCTGTGCCATTTACTAGGCGCCAATATGAGCAGCACGTTCTTTCCCTCAAAGGACAATACCTCGACGCAAAGCCATGGCGAAATTGCAAAAACATCACGGGCCGCCCCGAGCCGGTATTGGCTCCCAACTCTCACCAGCCTTCTGCAATGTCGCCATTACACTTATCGAACGCTCATGGGCACAACTCCACCACAGCCTCGCAGACCACACACAGATTCACTTCACCCATTACCGCTACGTGGACAACCGCTTCATCACCTTCAACGACATTTTCCTGAACCACATGGGCATCCAAACCTTGACTCAACCCGACTTTGTCGGCAATTCAGTGGAGCTGGAGCCCGTGCAGGATATGCACCTCCTTGGCTTCGATGTGGACCTCACCCATAGAACGATCACCTACATTGCACAAAACGCGACATGCAAGATCAGAGGTCACGCTTCAGGAGGTTCTCAACGCCTACGCCTTTCGGGCCTCACATCACGAGCACATCTCATCCGCAACGGGCGAGCACTTTCTCAACTGGCCCACCTCTACGCCCAAAAAGGGCACGACCTAGTGCAGTGCATTCGTTTGGTGCGCGGAAAAGTCAAGCTGCTTCTGTCACATTCAGTCCATTCCCGCCTCACGAATACCTTATGAACTGGAACATGTACCCAGCGATGGCGTTGTGTGGTCTCATGCGTTCTTTTTGTTCACTTCACTACTCAGGGAGCGCCGGAACCCGGCTTCTTGTGTGTGTCAACTCCTGTTTCCAAGGATTTCGACCACATTGAGGAATCTACTTACTGTTAATTCAATCGAGGTTTTCCTTTTGCATGTACAGCGCAGGGGGTCCAGGCAGTTGTGAGTTGGCCCTGGACCAGCGAAGACGGACTCACAACTGGTGAAGCGAGAAGGGACGCATATCTTATGGCTAAGGCTAAGGCTCGAAACCCTGGGGCCTCCCCCAGCGCAGCCACCTGGCTCCGCACCTTTGCCGCCTCGGCCACCGACTCCGAGTCCCAGAGCTTCCCGGCAAAGGACGCCACGAAGGACCGCGAGCGCATGGCCTGGCGACGATCGGCGGTCGAGCGAGCTCACCAAGATGAGAGTTCAGAGTTCTGAACTCCAACTTGGGCTCTCAATGGTTCTCACGGATTGGAGGCGTAGCACCGCCTTGCTGTGGCGGTGAAAGCCCAGAATGTCTCGCAGGTTAATATACCTTGGGAGAAATGGACAGGCTGAACACTGAACGAACTAAACAGTTTAGCTTCGTGACTAGAAGGAAAACACTGGAAGTAAGTGTGCAAGGCTATTTGAGGCCAAGGACGGTGGTACCACGATGTCTTTCAAAGCATTGAAGGGCGGGAAGCGGGTTTGATCCAAGCCAAAGTCCCCAAGGGACCGCTCAAAGCCCACTTCCGTCTCAGGAGTCAAAATGACGCTCTTCGGGATCTGTTTTCGCCAGGAAGGGAAGAGGTCGATGTAGTGGAAGGAAAAGATATGATCCTGACAAACTAGCGGCACTAGAATCACTAGAATTAGAATGACAGCTTTCCGATTGAATGAGGTCACTAGTCACTAGTCAAGATTCAAAGTTTACGGGGGGCCAATTGACAGGTGACAGCGCGAGAACTCTACATGCCAACTGCCAGGAAAGCGTCTCTGCCACCACTCTGCTGGAAATACGCAAGCTGAGACACCACTGCCTCATGATCCGCGTCCAAGTCGTCAAAATCCGCCATGCCTGCCACCTGATGGCAGCACGCGTAGCTTGGGACAAAGAAGTAGTCCGCTTCTTCTGGCTCGAAGGTGCGGATGGGCGAGGTCCGGAAGAAGTCATGGAAGCCCACGTCCATTCCCCACTGCCGATAGTGGCAGAAGGCCGGCGACCGTGTGAGCTTCCCAATGGCCTCGACTTCAGACTCCCCATAGACATAGACGCGAACAGGTTGCACCACTTGAGGCAAACTGGGGATCAATGCAGCTGCAGGAGCAAGCTCCCAAGGAACTCGAAGAGTGAGATTGCCTTTACGCCCTGTCCTGCGCTGCTGCATCTGCTGGAGTGCATGGGAGGCAAAGCCACCAAGGTTCTCCTGCGAGAGTCACATCAAAAGAACAGAAACTCTGACTTCGTCAACGACCATCTAGCTAATCTATAAAAACCATGCCTTTAAGATCACCCAAACTGAGAGAGTCAAACTTTCGCCTCAGCCGCTCCCTCTCCACCATGTCCGGCACCTCATCCAATGCCTTCATTCCTTGATCCAAGCGCCGGCCAACGATCTCCCGAAAGCGGCGGATCTGGTAGAGAAGACGGTCCTTCCAAAAGCGCACATCCTGCGTCGCGCTGCGCACGTGTCCAGGTGGCCCCACGAATGTCTTGGCAACTTGAATGTCCAGGGGTCTAGAATGAGAACAAGCCCACAAAGGGAGATCACCACTAATTCTCCTGGTCACTCAGCGGCCATGCACTGTGCTGGAAGAACCCAGGATGAGCTGCCGTCAGAAAGTGGTCATGCAGCACAGCCTTGAATTGTGCACCCCTGTGGCACGTCCCTTTGAATCCTCCTGGTGATTCCATTGTCTAGTAACATATTTCTTTTTACTATACAACAGTTGTGCCGCCGCTAGGGAACCTGAAGCCTCTTGCAAGCGGGGGTCAGAATGGCTTGTACAACAACTTGCTGGTGTCAAGTTCCGATGCGACTGTGTGCGCAAAAAGTGCTCATGTCAAGCTGGCCTACCAACCTGTGACCTGCGTACAAAAACTCGCATAGTTTCCCTATCGAGATCTTGCTGAGATGAGTCACGAAGGTTTGGAGGGCCGCAACGAAGCGTCCACGGCGCCACGCACCCACAACCTGCTCAAGCAGGACTCATTGCGGTGGCGTCCAGACATTCAAGGTGTGGAGGGAGTGGAGGGTGCTTTCTGCTATGCGGTCTCGTCCAAGTCGAGACTCGTATCAACTCCACATCGACCAACCCTCACTTACGAGTCTGCTCAGATTCACATGTTTGGGCCCTCGGCTGCACCAGCCTGTGCCAAAAGCAGCGTGGAGCTTCCCAAGAAGCAGCTGCCATCGGGTCCAAGCCCCAACTGCACTGCAGCCTCCTAAGTGAAAGGCTTAAAGGCTCAAAGCCAACCAAAACAATGGGCGCTTCACACTTGCGAGGCTGATACACCTGCCATATCCTCTGGGCTGATCAAAATCAGCAAAAATCTGAAGCACGCTGCTCCAACCAAAGTCCTGCGAGCATCTAATGCTGATCCCTCACCCAACTTCTTGGGTTTTGGGGTGCCCTCAACAAGGCCCAAAAACCACCTCCATCCGACCCTGCATGAGCTCCTCAGCCTGCTGTGCCTTGAGCCCCTCTGCTGTGGGCTCTGCCCCATAGGCGCCCAGATCCAAGCCACCCAGCTGCGCCAGCCAGGAGGACCACGGCACCAGGCTGCTGCAGTTGGGATCGGTGAAGAGTCCATCCATGTCGAAATCCGATCCAAATCATTGAATCGGATTAAAACCGGTGACAGAAGTGATTGAACATGGACTAGCAAAAATCTCACAAATGCTACTGTACACATAATTTGTCTGTTGATCCGGGACCTGGGCGTGTGCCCATGAGATTTCTGGCTTTCGTGGTATGAAGATGTAGGTTTCATGTCATACTGTCAGGTGCATGCCCATGGGCAAGCGCACGTGTTGGTGAACACACATCAAGCAAATCAACAACATAATTGCACACCATTGAAGGTATCATCAGCATTTTGAGCCACTGTGTGCCCTGCAAGAGCTCCAAAATGCCCAAACACGCTGAGCCGATCCTTCATTCCAATTGGTCCTCCAGTTGGGAGAAAAATTCTAGAGGCACCTCTTTAATACCAGGCCACTTGAGTTGATCATCTCACCACTTTGCCATGATTTGTACTTTGGTACGTTTGTGGCTGGCTTTCCAGGAGCACTGAGACTTGACTCAGAATTTCATCCACGAAGTTTCCTCGTCGACCCATAATTCAGCCTCAACAAAACTTAGAATTACAAAAACCTTTCATATGGTAAGGCCAGAATCCTTAAATAAAAAAGAAGTCGAAAAAAAAAATGTCAAATGGAAAAGTCAAAAGTCAAAAAAATAAATAATCAATCGGAAAAGTCAAAGTCAAAAAGGTCCAATGGAAAAGTCGAAAAAATGACCAAAAAGTAGTCTAGAAAAAAGTCGAAAATAGATCACAACTCGAAAAAATAGATTAATTAAAATGTCAAAAGCAGTTCCAGGAAAAAGTAAATAAATAGAAAGGTTTAAAAAAGAAAAAACAAGATTAGAAAACAACTCCAAAAAAAAGTCGGGGAAAAAAACGTCTCAAAACAAAATTAGAAAACAACGCGAAAATGTTTAAAATATATATATATATACATACTAAGAAAGTCGGAAAACCGTCGGACAAAAAGTCAAAAAAATAGATCAAAACAATATATATAAAAAAAGAAACGGATCTGTGCCAATTGACTTGCTTTTTGACTTTCTGAAACTTTCTGATTTGACTGGTTTTTGACTTGGACTTTTTTGGGACTGGCTACTAAGTTGATGTTTTTGACTTCTTAAATTTTGAAGACAGGCTCTCTCTCCTACGAAAGATTCTTATAAACTTAGAACATCTTGCAAACCACGGAGCCACCCTGGCCTTTGAAGACCCATCCAACAGCAGCGCTGCCACTGGCGCCAGGAAGGCCAGCAGCCGCATGACTTCCTGAGCGTCAGCGGCGACACACCTCCAACTCCAAAGAACTGTGTCTTCCCTGTGCGGATCATAGCAATTGGTGTCACAGCTTTCACTCCTTTCCGCTCTGCTCCCTTGTGCCGTGAAGGAACAATGCGGATCCCGGCCACCACACCCGACTTGATCGGTGCTGTAGTGGCTGCGGGGCAGTGTATGTTGGCTGCTGTGTGTGGATCAACACCGAGAGAAACATCAAACCTTGTGTGGATCAAACCTTGGACATTTCAGATCTAGAAGTTTCAGCTCACCCTGACTCTGCTGTGCTGATGTGGTTCTGTTCTCTGAGCGAGCTCAGCTTCCAACGTGGCCTGTGGCCGCAGAACAGCCTGCAAGGACTGAAGTTGCAAGTTGCAAAGCCAAGCAGGCACAAGTGAAGATGCTTGCAAAGGCAGCGAGAAAAAATGCACTCAAAAGCTGTTGTGGCCTTTTCCGCGGCAATGCTGTGAAAACATCATGTCACAAGTCCAAGACCCCCGAGGTCATTCAACACTCTACCACATCTGGAGGAGCTTACCCGTCTGTAAGGCCCTTGATTGCAGAGAATAGCACCAATCCTTCTACCCATTTCTCACCAATCAGCGAGGGCAGGAAGCCAGCAGAGCGTTCTTTGAGGGATGATCTATACTTGATGGAGAAGCTCAGCCTGCCAAAGCAATACCTCACAAGAAAGCTGCTCTCGGGTGCCAGGACCGAGCCAAAAGAAGAGTAACCAACTCAAGAATAACCTGTGCCACCACAGAAAGAACACACAAAAAACACCAAAAGCGTACGGCATACGGACAACCAAGTCCAGCATGCTTAGCTTGCCAAAGTACAGGAGCATTGGCAACAAGATCCATGGTCCAAACACACTGCTGGCCAGAACAGTGTTCACCAAGAGCCTTTCCAAATGCCAACTCAGGAAGTAAAACAAGAAGGACGACCTAGTTGTGTTCGTGACTTGACTCTATTCTATGCCACTATGTCAGGACAAGTGACAAGTGACAAGACCACAACAACATGGATAAATGTTTTCAGCTTCGTTCAGTGAACACGTTGGTAGATTCAACTCCCTTGAAAACCTCTATTTCTACCTATACAAATATACGAGTATATATATATATATTTATTATGTATAACTTTTGTCGAATCGTTGGCGACTTCCTTCAAAGTGGCAAAGGCAAAGATTCATCCATGTTGAAGGCCGCCCTCTGTGCCCGGTTGAATCGGCCAACAGTCCCAGTATTCGCCATGAGGACATAAGGGGCATCCTGCACTGCGAACAAAACCAAGCAAGCAAGCAAGCAAGCAAGGAGAAACTATGATGGTTGGCCATACCCTGCGGCCTTGGGACATCTGCCGCAAAAAGACAAAAAATGCCTCTGTCCACTATCGACTATTTGTCAAGTAAGGACATGTCTATCGCATGCGGTCCTTGAGGGAACCCGAAGACTCCATGATCTTGTAGACATGCTGGTCAGGGCGGTCGACTCGCGCCCCTGCACGCGCTGCATTGGCAAGGACAGTCACACCAGAACGGGTCATGCCGGCGATCCAAACACATAGGAAGACATAGCCGAGCTGGTTCTCATGGATGAAGTTAAACTTTCTCTCCAAAATGGCTCCACTACCCAAGTGCTTGGCTGCAAGATAGGTCAAGCCAGCCACTACAAGCCCAACCAGCAGAACAGCAAGCACCAGCCTCAAGTACTTGAAGAAGGCCCTGTCTTCGGTTTCGGTCTCTTGCGTCAGAGGCTGCAAACCTAAATGGTCACGATTTGCAAACTCATCCTCGTTTGATGAAACGGAGTTGGAGGACATCCAGGAGGTTGAGTCATGCACAAACAACAAAATGAGCTAAGCAGCTGCAGTTTGAAGGATCCACCGATCTCTGTCTCTCTCTCTCTCTCTGAAGACAATTGTGCATTATATATCTAATCACAGGACAAGTCCAAGGTGGAAAAGAGCCGGCAACACAACATGCATCAAGAATACATTCTCAAATTCGCAGAACATGTCGTCGTAGCAGAACCAGGACATCAATTTCAAAGCATAAAGCAAACAATGTGAAATAATTCAAGTCTTTCAATACAGGCCAGCACCTAGTACCACCTCGCTGACCGCGAATCGTCCTGCACGCGAACACACACACATGCACACGCATACAAAAGCTGCTCCACAGCTGTCACGGTTGAAAACAAGAAATACAGAACAACCACAGAAAGCCAAAAAGCAAATTGACAGCACAGCACATGGGACCTGAACTGGAGAAGAGCTTCGCGACGTGCTTTCCGTGAGGGACGCATTGCATATTTTGCAGAGGTCAATGCGACATCTTCTTAGCTTCTTCCCTCGGTTTGCACAAGGCAAACCCGACATGCAGCCCAATCCTTTTTGAAGCTGGTCATGTGGTTCCAATCTGCGACATCTCCGCCAATTGCTCCTCCACAAGTTGCGTCACCCATGATACCAAGAGCAGTGTGGTTCTTGGCAAGACACCCTCGCAGACACTGATGCAGGCACCTAAGGTGATGGCATTTGCTTTCGAGGACCCAAGCCACAAGAACTCCAGCGCCATCGTCCATTGGGCAGCTCGGGTACATGCGAAAATGCTCGCATTCCAACACTGCACGTCAGGCGAAAGCCCAGCAAGTTCGGTCATTTGGCTGAAGATATGCAATGCTTGCAGCCACTCACTGGCGTTTGCACAGGCGCTGATCGTGGAACTGTAGCTGACAAGATCGGCACAACGAGAAATCTGCAAGGCCTGCAGCAAGAACAAAGCTTCCCTCCACCGCCTGCACTTGGCGCAAGCGCTGATGGCTGTGTTGGTCGCCACTGCTTGCTCCAGCTCTCGTGGCATCCTTGAGAGCACCGCCAATGCGGGTTGCCACTCCTCACTTCTCTCACAAGAGGCGATAACTGCTCCGTATGCAACCTCGTTTGCTTCCATCTTCCTCCGCACCACTGGACACCCCCCTTTCGGAAAACGACCGTACCCATCGTCGAACACACCACGTCGATCCTTCGTCGTACACGGACACCCGTCCTCTCCAACCCTCCGAGCAAAAACAACGAGAGGGTCCAACGTTCGGAGGTGGAGACCACGGCGCTGCAGGTTACAAAGTTGCCCTCCACTTGCAAGCCCAGCATCTTCTCAAAGAGCCACGTGGCCTGGGGCAACAAGTGAGGCAACGGCCCAACGGGGCACCCAAAGTGGCCCTCTGGCTCAACCACCTGTATTGAAGCTATGAGAGTGTCGCATCAAAAATATATGCAGTATTCAGTATTTAAAACCATTTGCCTCTATGTGCTTCAAACTTGGAAAAATATCAATGAATCTTGCAAGCAAGGAGGCCTAGGTTGTCCTCCCTATGCAGGTCTGAGTCTGAGCATTGCAGGCCTTCTGCCACTGGTTAGTGGCAGAGATGAGTGCATTGCATGAGACCACATCTGGGCAAAGCAGCTGAAGCCCCACCGGCCAGCCGAGACTGGCAATAGCTGTGTTGAAGGTCACCAACGTCCCCTTGGCAGAGTCTCTTCAAGGCCTACTTGTGTTCAGAAGACTCACTGAGCAGCTGTGCAGTGTAGGGCTAATGCGGCACATGGCATAATAGAATTATAACTATATAAGAAGTATTCGGAAACCTCGAGCTTGGCTCCGAGCATAACAATGCTCTCTCTCTCTCTCTCTTTCTTCTCAGCTCCCAGCTCGTAGACCGTGTTTGCGGATCATTTCCAGCAAGCACTGGGCTCTGTTCCACTGGCCTCCGCCACAAGCACTCAGCCTCAGCAAAAATCTAAAGAAAACGATGCCTAAACAGCTTGGACACGCCAAAGGCGATTGTTGCTCTTTCCAACCCACTGAGATTGTCGTGAATCTTCTCACCAGAACCATCCTTCTTCGCCTCCATCTGCAGCTGAAGCTCACAGCATTGTAGCTCACCACATCTGCTCTCGGTATGCGCCGTAGGATTTGCTCGGCGGCGAGCCTCAATCAAATTATCACTACATATCACTACCAGTTACCTGGGTGGCACATATCAAAGTGTGATATTTGTTGCACTGGACTCTGGACACCTCGAGGGTTTCTGAGCCCCGGACCATCTACCCTCACATGCACTGATCGCAGTATTGCACATGACAATGCTGCGCCGGAAGCCGTTCACACCAAGGCCGTCCAAAAGCGAAAGCACTGAACCCCACCGCGAAGATTTCCTCAGCACGGGCGGTGTCGAGCTCTGGAACGCTTTGAGGGATATTTTTCTGATCTTTCCTGTGGCTTCGCATCTGCACTGGAGGTGTATCGGCAGAACAGGCAATCAGCACACATCTCTCTGAAAATCTGGAGGGAGATGCATTTGATGTTTGATTTCATACTTCCCTACTTGACCCTCTAGATAGGTGCATCACCGCCACTCGCAGGCAGCCGCAGCGGCATTGAAGGAGACACTGCTACGGTTCTGAAGCCAGAAGAGCCAATGCACAGACAAAGGCCAGTGCCTGGGCCCGAGGTTGCGAAGCCATCCCCACAATGCCAAAGCTGTACGTGGTGCGTGTCAAAAGTTTCAAGCCACTGAATTGGTCAATTTGTTTGCACATATCAAGTCAAGTTTCCCACAGGAAATGGCCGAGTTTGTTGCCATCCTGCTGGGTGAGAGGCGGGCATCAGGGAGCACGGCCAACAAAGAAGCAGCATGCTCCCACTGCCCAGCCCTGCCTCAACCAAGCGAAGCCGGACATTTCCTATTATTTTGCGTCACCAAAGTGCACAGTGTACGTGCAAACACCACCACCTCCTCACCTCACGCCCAACCTTGCTTCCCAGCAGCCACAAGCAGAGATAGTGCTGACAAACGTCACATCGTCCGCCACAAGATCAACTGCAGAAATTCCCGCCAACAACCCCACAACCATCCGCCACTTTCCTGGCATAACTCCACAATTCAATCTTTGAACAACATTGGGTGTGGGGCGCATGGTTC